AGTAAGGTAGATAGGGCTTAATAAGTATGAAATGGTTTCACTGGGTTGTATCAGTGATGAAAATGAAACATGATACAGGTGAAATGCAATATAGGTGAAACACAATATAAGTGAAACATGATATAGATGAAACATGATAAAGGTGAAACACAATATATATGAAACAGTGATGCAGGTGAAATGCACCACATGATGGGATCAGTTGTAGTAGTACAGGGTCAATTAACAAATAGTAAGGAAGAACAGAAAACCCCCCTCAAAGCTGTAACATTACCCCCTCCTCTATATTTGTTGTTACAGTTGCCACTGGGTGTGCCGTTCCTTCAAATAACCCAGTTCCTCGATAGGACAAGGTGTCTCCCCATTTAGCACATCCTCAATAGTCCGGAATTTTTTGTGTGGGTGGAGCAAACCACATGAGGAGCACAGCCATTACCAACACCCACTTTAAAAATGACCATCCATGTTGCAAGTGGTGCAGTGATGGAGTCAACAAGGTATAGCACCTGAAGGAGGAGTGATGATGGAAAACTCATGTTGTTCAAGTCGATCCTCCAAGTTGGCAGCCTTGAGGCAAGAGCGGCATTGACTAAGTTCCTCCTGAGTCCTGGGGATCTCCCCTGCTAATGATCCTTGTGTGGCTAACAGAAGGTCCAATTTTGTGTTGATGGTGCAGAAATGATTGACTTCATTGACCACTCCCTGATCTCTCATGGCTTGAAGTGAGGCCCACATACTTTCTAACACATTTGATTCTTGTGTTAGCAGATATTCCCATGTGTTCTCCTCCCATTCCTTGTCTGACAAACTCCAGTTCCCCATGGGTTCAGCAGTACAGAGTGCTCCTAGAGTGGTAGTAGATGTTGAACAAATAGTGAACGCACCTACAAGTTCTATGTACAGAACCGCTACAAACGGTTCATTGGACACTGTAGATTAGTTGATCTAATCTCATCTATATCTTATCTAGACACAATTGTTTATCTGATCAACTAGATATAGTTATAGAGTCTAGACAGATTCCAGTAGATTCCAGACAGAGTCCAGAAGAGTTTGGCTGGATCTAGCTGC